ACACAGCTTTTTCCTACGTGCAATGGGGTAAGGTTCCCTCTACATAAGCCATTCTTGGGAGGATCAAAAGAAGAATGTATCTGGAAATGCTTTATGAGCTGCAAAGAGCAACATGATTTTAAGGAATGTCGTTTTATGGGATCTTCAGATATTTTTGATTGAGAGATTTTGTGCAATTGCTTTTGAGAAGGAAAGGTATTAGATGGTGGTTTTTAACTCACCAGGGTTTGAATTTCACTTCAGCATATCCTGCTGCTTGTTCTGTCTCTTTCATGTCAAATCATTTCCAACCGTACAGCTTCATCCCAGAGCCCCTATAAGCTATAACAGGAATTGTGTTCCCTGCATATGAAAAATACGTGTGTCATGGCGCCTGCCACATCTAAAGTCTTAAAGGACTGCTCTTGGCCACAACTGAATCATGCAAAAATTAAAGAGCAGAGAGGAGGTATGACAGGCTTGCTATACAGAAAATTCTGTTTGCCTCCATTTCTCTTCTCAAATATTAACTTAATCTCATGGCAAAAGACTATTAGAGCATCTAAGCACTTTGGAGCTAGAAAAGGCTCTTAAAAAAAAAAAAGGTTTACCTGTTGTAGGTTCATTATATCATTTCCATTAGGTTTTGAAAAAAAGTGAAATCCGTTATTTTCTGGGGGACCTGGGGGCTGAGAACGGCTGCTCTTAGCTCGGGGTGAATGTGCCATCTGAAGGATGACTCTACTGGTCAACAATTTCCAGTATTTCCTTCCTGGTACCCCCTTCCCAACACCACCATGATAAAAATGTCCCTGACATTGCAATATTTTATCACCCTCTGTCACATTTAGCACGAGCAAGACCGTCACGCGGATTGTGACAGCTTACTCTGTGCTAGGGCTATACTAAGCGCTCGACTTCTACTGGCTCATGTAATTCTCACGTAGCTCCGGAGGTAGGCGTTGATGTGAACACGGTAAACATAAAGGAACCTAGTTGTTCAAAGACATTATGTAGTTTCCCTAAAGACAAATGTCAGGAAGGGAGGAAGCCAGAACTCAAACCAAGTTGATCTGGCACCCAAGTCTCTGCCTCGCCGTCTCTAAATAAATGAAAAACTTCCAATATTCTAATACGGAAAGTGACAACATAATATCTCATTACCTGATGTACAGATGGCTGAATTTTGTTTTATTTAATATAACTTTTTAGAGGAAATCTGTTGTCTGTATATTTTAATCTTACTACCCATTTTTTAAAGAAATACCTGTGGAAAGGAGGGAATTCTCTATTAGAGCACATGTCTAATTTTTCATTCAGAAAGCAAGATAATTTGAAAACATTTGAAGTCAGTTCTCCCCTTAGAGGCCATACAATTCTCAGAGAATGTTCTGGGAATAAACAGAATCTCAGCAGCCCTGGGGATGACTCCCCGATCTGAGGTGCTGCTTCAGGTGGTCAGTCCCAGGGTTCTTTCAGAGAACATTAAGGTTTCTTAAGAAAACCGCAGCAAGAGTTCATGCCTCTTAATACTGATTAAAATCAACTAAATATTACTTTGACAGTCTGGTAAAACAATGGGCTAGACAGGATGAATAGTACTACAGAATAAATCTGTGAGACATCACATCTTTACAACTGCTGAAACAGGACATCTCGATCATACTGTTTTGCTCATGCAAGCATTTTAATTTTTAAAACCACTCTGAGTGAGCCAGGCATGACATAAATTTCCTGAAATTGTGTTCTAACAGCTCTATTGCGAGAAGGCTAAGTGGGCCTTCCTACTTTCCCCCCATACTCGGAATGAACTAACAAAAAAGGTAATGTTCTTGCCCTTAAATGATCCACGAGCCAAGAAAATAAAAGATCAAGAGACAGACATCTTCCCACCTGAGGAACTGTACACAGAATGAATATTGAGATGTAACACTGGGTTACAGCAGATTTTTTCCCCTTTTGAGACAAATAACAGTGTTAAAATATGCTGAATACTAAGTATGAAATATAATATAAGGGGCGCCTGGGTGGCTCAGTCATTAAGTGTCTGCCTTCGGCTCAGGTCATGATCGCAGGGTCCTGGGATCGAGCCCCATATCGGGCTCCCTCTTGGTGGGGAGCCTGCTTCTCCCTACTTGTGTTCTCTCTCTCACGGCATCTCTGTCTGTCAAATAAATAAAATCTTAAAAAAAAAAAAAAAAAGGAAAAGAAATATAAAAGTATCTGCCATAGAAAGGTGGCCAATGGCCAAAAAAACGTGTGTGTGTGTATACAAAATGTATCTGGCTCCCAACTGGAAAACATTTATTGTATTTTTAGGAGTTGCCTTCTAGCAGCTGAGGCAAGATAAACATCCTCCCAAGTATCACCACCAAACTGAGAAAATGTGTACAAATTTAAAATTCCCAGAAACAAACCTCTATCTGAATTGTGCCAACAATAAGAATCCCATTCCCCTGGGACCTGAGAAACTTCCCTTTATTTTTCAATTTATAGAACTTATTACTGCAGAAATCACCTATTTTCCTTCAAAATAAGTTAAACCCAGATACAATTAATATGACAAGGAAAACCTCCAGTGGCTCACTTACCTTAAGCAATATCGTTTATGCTAAACTTCTAGCACAAGAAAGGATAAGAAGTAGTTTGGGGTTTTTTCCTGTGGGGGAGGGGCGGGTGGGGTGGGGAAGTAGCAGATTTTACCCTGTATGCTTTAATATTTGAGAATTCTGCTCCTACTCCCTTGAGGCTCCAGGAGACATACATGTGTTCTAGTACAGCTGGACAGATTCGTTTGTTCTGGGACATGATCAAATAGTGGACAGAGGAAATGGTGCAAAATTTATAAGAACGACTTAACCACTAATTCTAAACCACTAATTCTAAACTAATCGAATTTAAGAGAAATCATAGAGTGGTGTATAAAGATATTTCCAATTTCATAGGTATCGTGGTATCACTATTTCCTGTGTGTTATCTTAGTTGATTTCAAATGACTCGTTAGGGAAAGAGAAGAAATGAACCGTGGCTGTTAAGAGCGCTTCACCTAAGCCAAACAGAGAAAAGTGGGGGGCGGGGGGGCCGGGGGCAGGGTCAGGGACAGTGATACTGCCCCAATGCACATAGCCGCCCAGGTGAGGGGTCTAAGACAGCGGTTAATGACCCTAACAAATGTTATTCAGAAAAAGGAGAAACAAAGCACACTCCGTCACATAGGGCCGGGTGCTCTGTGGAGCTGCATCTGACCATACATTAATGTTCTAAGTAAGGCTGGGGGTGTATACAGTAGATACAGTCAGGACACTCACAGCTAAAGAGAAGCATCTCTCAGCTCCGCTTCTCCCCTCTGAACCCAGAGGGATTTGATCTCTAATTCATTGGCGGCGTGCACGGGTAACTACCATCTGAGTACCTACTATGTGCCCGACACTGTGATCCTCTCTCATAGGATGGACTCCAGGAATCACCAGGATTCCTGATGGACGGAAGCACCTTCCGTGCTAGGTGACCCCGCTTTGCTCCTGCCACTCCAGACACCCACACTGCTTCAGACTCCGAGCCACAGCGAGGCTCAGAAGATCAAGGGACCAGTCACAGCAGCCTTTTTAACTTTGGGAAAACCCAATGCTCACTTCACTCAAACGTTGCAAAGTGGTGCCATGACCCTTTAGCTCTTGACTCACCAATTCAAAGAGCCACATCACATACAGCCCTTAAGCTGCCCACGGCATGATTCTGCGTCTAGTGCCTTTCCAGGTCCCCCCAAGCGGAAGACAGTTCTGGCAGGGAGTCTGGGCAAGATTACTATAATATTTAGCCTTTGTCCCTTCTTTTGCTATGTCTTATCATAGAATAAGGCACACAAGTCTGAGAAACTGGGTACTTTGGTGTATGTTGGACTTGAGACCTGTACTCCAAAAGTACCTGCAGGACCTCAGGTCAGTGCAATCGGACCCAAGGAGCTCCATTTCAAAGATGAAGAAACTGAGATTCAAAGAAAGTAAAGCAGGGTCCATTCTTCAGAGAGTAGGGAAGGTGGGGTACACACGTAGTTCAACACCATGCTTCCTGTCTCTGGGATTTTACTGAGCACCTAACTAGCAGGAAATGGACAGAACTGAAGCGAACAGATTTCATTCCCTTAACTATTGGTGTGACTAGAGCCACAACCACACTTCCTATCTGAGCGTTAGTTTTCTCGCCTGTAAAATGGAGAGAGTGTGTTGGACTGGTGATTCCTAACGCCTTTCGGGTCTGAAACTGTCATAAAGTTTAAGGATATAATTATGTGTGGATGTGGATGAATATATATGCATATAGATGAATACAGATGTATGTGTATATATGTATGTATATGTATATACATGACGTGCCGCAATTAAATACTATGTCCAACCACACATTTTGCCTAATTCCCTCAGAGGCCATGTTTTCAAAATCCCAAACCAAGGCTAGGTACGTCCCATCATTGCAGCCCTTCGGAATCCCGGGTCGTGCGGTCAGTACTCCTCTGGCTTCTCTCCAAACACAAGTGCTGAGTGAGAAGGAAGAGGAGGAGCCGCGTACTTTACATGAAATGTTAAGTGTCATTAAGTTCCCCGGAGGGAACGGCAAGTCTGCAGCAGGGCTGGGCTGGGGGGGGGGGGGGGGGGAGAGAACACACCGCAGGAAGCCCAAGTTAAAGGTGACAGGCGCTGGCTGCTCGAACCTGGGGCCGGCCGGCAACGCACCAAGTGCGCAGCGCGTGCCGGGGCTTGGAACAAGCCTGGCTCCGCGCCGACGTCTGAGGGTGAGCCCGGACTGAACTCCCGGGTGAGCCCATCCCGCGTGAGCAACTCGGAAAATGGGCCGTGCGGGGGCGGGCGGCGGGCCCTCGGCTGCTCGGTCCGAACGCACGTGGCACGACCCGCGCGGGGTGAAAGCGCCCCGCCCGCCCGCGCGGCCGCCGCCCCAACCGCCGGCGCTAGGACCCGACGCGCCGCGCGCACTTCCTCCCGCCGCGGCCCGCGCCGCCGCCCTACCTGGCGAAGCAGTACTCGCAGTGGTTACCCCGCTCGTTGACCGTGAGCACGTAGGCGTAGGCCGGGCAGGAGAAGAGCAAGTCCCCCACGTGGAAGGGCTGCAGGGCCCGCATCCCCCGGCCCTTGCCCGGGCTGCAGAAGCGCTCCAGGCCGCCGTCGCCCGCGGCCCTCATGCCGGCAGCGGGGCGGGGCTGGCGGGGCCGGCGCCGAGGGGCGCCCGGAGCGGCGGCTCCCCGCGAGCTGTTATTGGAGAAGCGTCACCCAGAGCTGCGGGGCGGGCGGGGGGGGCGCGGAGGGAAGCCGCCGGAGACGCCGCGGCGGCCACAGCTCCCCGGAAGGGACGCCGGCCCCGCCCGGCTCTCGCGCGCCCCCGGCGGGAGGGGGCAGGGGGAGGGAGGGGGACCGGCCCGGCGGCCCCGCCCCGCCCGTAGGACCCTCGGCGGCCCGCCCGACGCGCGCCCGGCGTGCTTCCGGTGTGGCGGCGACGGGCGCTGCAGCCACGGAGGCTCCTGGCGGCCGGGCGCGAGGCGTCTGCGCCTCGGCGGCGTTTCCGCGGGAAGAGCGGACGCTGTCCCCACTCCCGTGGGCGGGTGGGGTCGCCGCGGGTGGCCAGGACCCAAGGCCGCCCCGGAAAGGCCGCCTGGCCCCCACGGTGACCCACCTTTGGCACATCGAAAGGGACAAAGGTGTTTCTCAACCTCCTGTGTCTTGTCCCTGTCGGAGACCCTAGAAGGGGTCATCGGGAACACCGAAGAGAAACCGCAGTCCCAAGAGTGGAGGTGCCGAGGGATAAAGGGCGCTTTCCTAAGGTTAAAGGCTTTTAAACCTCGTGAGGCTTTAAACCTTCCAGGGAGTCTCTGGAGTACTTGGTGTGAACGTTTGCCTCTCCAGTGGAAGTTAATTACACGGACAGGAGAGGAAAAGTCCCGTCAGCCGGGCTCACTGAGTGCCTGCTTTCAAGAGACTCACTCTTTGCAGAGAAAGCAGGAAATAAGCTTGCCTTCAAAGAACTTAGACTCTTCTAGGGGTCCAAATGCTATGCTCTGGCCAGAACGCTAGGCTAGAACTTGCAGTGAATTTAATCACATGGACCACTCACCATCATCTTAGAAAAGTCCATTTGGTTAATCACACAGAGGATTTGAAACCTGTATAGCTCATAGAACAGTACTTAGCACATAAGTCCTATACACATGCATGCTGTTGGTATTACTCATAGGAGAAAGGAGGATGTAATCTGGGTTCCACGAAGGATTGAGTAAGAATGAAATTGATGTGCATGTAGTAAAAACTCTTAAATGAGTGAAGGGAGAATTTAGCAGGAAACATACTAAAAACTCAACTTTGATCTCAAATGATGTTACACGAGTAAGTTCAGGACTAGTTTAGCAAAGGGAAAGACGAATACGATTTGGAGTATGTCTTAAAATCAGTAGAATTTTTGACACCTCAGTAAAATTCCTAAAACGAATAAGCCTGTAGCTTATTCCTGTAAAGAAGAATACATCTTGAATGCTATTTCATTTATGCATTTGAAGAAGCATCCACTGAGTCACCACTATGTGCCAGTCACTGGGATAGAAAGATGGACAAAATGTAGGCCTGAGTCTTTGCATTTGACACATTCACAAGCCAGTGATAATTGCTGTTAGTATAATGGGCCAATTGTGCAAAGCACATTAAACACATTGTCTCATTTATTCTGTAATCACAACAGCCCAATGAGTTAGGCGCTAAGTCCCTCTTTTCCAAAACAGGAAACTTAAGACTCAGAATCACTTCCAAGGCCACACAGTAAGTTGCAGAACTTGGTTTCAAACTCAAGTCAGTCTGAATGGGAGACCCATGCTCTTAACCCAAATGTCCCTCTGCATATAAATACAGCACACTGAGAAGTGTTGTTATGGTGGCTTGTGCGAAGTATTCTGAGAATACAGGCAATGAGTGACAAACTGAGTCTGAGGAATGGAGCTTTGGTCAGAGCCTTTGCCACATTCAAGGAACACTCGAGCCTAAAAGGATGGGCGAAACTTGACTAGTAGAGGAGCACAGAACAGTTTCCTGGGCAGAGAGAACTGCGCACAAAGACGGAGGGACTTGAAAGAACCGAGTTTTGTGTATTGGGGCCCTGTGAGTGGTTCTGAGTGGAGCACAAGTTCTCGAGGAGAAGGCAGGAGGTGAGACAGGAACAGGGGAAGGATAGCTTCTCGAGAGGTGAGCAGTGTCGCAGATGTGGTATGGGAACCACTGAAAAATCTGTAAGCAGAGGAGTGCCATGGTCAGTCCCGCGTTTAGACTGAGTTCTACTGGCAGGTTTGCAGATAAACTATGAGAGGAGAGGACTGAACACAGGTCCACCACTTCAGGGAGCATCTGCAGTATTTTATTATTTTTTTTTTAAGATTTTATTTATTTGACAGCACAAGTAGGCAGAGAGGCAGGCAGAGGGAGAGGGAGAAGCAGGCTCCCTGCTGAGCAGGGAACCCGACGATGTGGGGCTCCATCCCAGGACCCTGGGATCATGACCTGAGCTGAAGGCAGCTGCTTAACCAACTGAGCCACCCAGGTGCCCCAAATCTGCAGTATTTTAAATGAAAGGCGATGAGAGCCAGAATCAAGGCAGTGGCATTAAGGAAAGGGGCAAAGATGCTGAGGGTAATTCCAGTTTCTTGCTTGGTATATGGCATTTGGCAGGCAGGTAACAGTGTGTTGGCTTTCTAGCGCTAGCCTGATCGATCTTGTAGGCTCAAGATAGGAACCATAAATATCCTAGAATTGGGGGAATGAAAGAGGCATCTTCTTACTAATGAGGAAGGTGAGGCCCTGTGAAGTTAGCTTGCCTGATAACCTAGTGGCAGAGCTAGCATGAGATTCTACAATATATTCATTCATCATTTAAATATTTATTACATGCTTACTGTGTTCCAGCAACAGTGAGAAGGGCTGGTGACGTAACGATAACAGAAACTGACTTAATCCGCACCCTCACAGAGCTTTGTAGAGTCTGGTGGAAGAAGAAGACGTTAATCAGATAAACAAATACAGTCAGTGGTCTTAAGCGCTAAGCCAGTGTTTGGGGGATTTGACCTAATCCAGAAAAGCTTTTCAGAGAGTAGTGCTTGACCTACAATCCAAAGGATGAATAGAACTTAATCAAGAGGAGAGGGGGAGGAACAGACATTCAAGCAGAGTGAACAGCATATGCAAAATTCCATTGGTAGGAGGAAATGTGACCTATAGGAAAGTCAGAGTGACTGAAGCAGAGCTAGGGGGGAGAGTGTTGTTTGAGATCATTTTAGGAGGTAAATTGGTCTTATTGGCCAGGCTACCGGAATCTACTCTGATCAATAAAAGCTCTGGCAGTTTCCAGACTACTTACTATGTTAAATCAGCTTTAGGCCAGTCACATGATTTAAATCAATTCTGACAATTATGTTTTATTACAGGTGGGTGTTATATGTAAATGAAAGAATTTTTTTTTAAACCTTAGAAGTTGCTGAATACATGCCTACCTAGGCAAAATCTTGGATACCTTTTTGGGCTCAACAGTTTTTTTTTTTTCAACATTCTGCTTATGTGGCATTCTAACCAGCACAAAGATGAAAAGACTGGCATAAAAGTAAATAAACAATTATAATACAGTAAACAGTTCCCTATTTTAAGGATCAATTGTGTGAAGTAACCTACTTGTTTACTTCTTTTATTGCAAGTGATCCCCGCCCCCCACCCTGAAAGATTTCCAATGGCTGAGAGAAACAATAGCCTGGCTAGCGAGCAGTCTCTCGAGGTGAGGGGTGGCAAGAACAGCCTTATTCTTGTGGGTGAAGGTGGCTGTGATTGAAGAACCCTGGAAAAGAAACAGCCTCATTTCAGAAAAATGCCTGTGCTGAACTCCAGTGACTCGAGATAGGGAAATGGTCAGTTAAGCAATAGCCATGAATTTAGGAGCTTAAATTACCAAGAAAACTGTGTTTAAAATAAACGCCCAAGCAATGGCAACAAACCAGGCAGGCAGACTGATGACAGCACTCTTAATGCAGCTCATACTTGTCAGTCTGCGGCTCTGCATTCTCAAATTCCGTGAACGTCACCTGCCAGCGCCAGGGCCCCTTCACCTTTTAGCCTCCCTTCCACCCCTTAGCGGGGAAGGAACGGGGTTTGAACGGAGTTTTCTGGTTACTTTGCTTCCCTGAGTCTCAGAGGGAAATGATACAAGGATGAAGGCCCCCTTCGCTTAATTTCTGTAACCTAGAAGTTGATCCAGTTCCGGAGTAAAAGGTCGCTCCAGCCACAGATTAGCACATGAAAGAAATAGCTCCAGCCTGGGGGGAAATAAAGCGTGAGCAAAGAAGGAATACCAATGAACACGGACAACAGACATTGGCCTTAAACCGCTGTACTTATATACATGTATTTCATTTATCGATTACATATTATGTGCTTACACTCTGATAGACCCTGGTCATACAAAGGTGAGAACACGGACGTTGGAATAGTTATTGTAGTAGCTCCAAAGATATTATATCAATTTAACACATCTGCCAGGCCCTTATAGCCTACGTAAGGGAACCTTTAAATTGAGAATCTTGAGATGACAGGATCGTGCTGGATTATCCAGGGGGACCCTCACTGCAAGCATGGTGACCTTACAAGAGTGAGGCAGAGGAGATTTGACACAGACAAGGGGAAGCAGAAGCATTATCATGGAGGCAAAGATGGCAGCGATGTGGCCACAATCCCAGGACGGCACACAACCACCAGAAGCTAGAAGAAGCAAAGGACAGTTTTTCCCTTTGAGCCTCCAGAGGGAGCGCGGGCCTACTAACACCTTGACTGTAGCCCAGTGATACCGATTTCAGGATTCTAGCCTCCGGAACCATGAAAGAATAAATTTCTGTTATTTTTAAGCTTGGTTTGTGGTAATTTGTCACGGCAGCCATACGAGATTAAAACAAATTACAATACAGGGGCACCTGGGTGGCTCAGTCGGTTAAGCGTCCGACTTGTAATTTCTGCTCAGGTCATGATCTCATGGGTCATGGGATCAAGCTCCACGTCGGGCTCTGCGTTCACTGGGGAATCTGCTTGAGATTCTCTCCCTCTGCCTCCCCCCGCCCCCCACATGCTCTTTCTCTCTCTCTCTCAAATAAATCTTAAAGAAAAAACACAACCTAAAATACAATAAAAGTTTTAATAGAGAGAGGAACAAAGTACAGGAGAAAGGCTTTACAGAAGACCTGACATTTTAGTTCCTTCTAGAAGGAAGACTAAAGATTGACCAAAAGAAGGAAGGCCCACAAAATGGATTTAAGAACCTGAAGGTATAAATTCACTGGGGTAGGAAAGACTTGACAATCCAGGCAAGTATTTTTTTCTTTTCTTTCCTTTTTTTTTTTTTTT